TTGAATGGGGATGAGCGGTTCATTGAGCCAACCCCCCTATCATTACAAAATTTAACACTGAAATCCGTAAAAGATGCAGTGATGAATCAGTTTGTTGGTGGAAACATGGAGGTGTGTGATTATCTGCTTGTTAATCCTGCATATCACATCTGGAAACAGATATTTAATCATCTAAAAGGTGCATGTCTTCATTCTTCAGGTAAGTATTGTTGGAGATTTCTCAGAGGAGGAGGTTCAGTCTTGCATTATTGATTACCTGGGCACAGTTAGAGCAACAAGAGATTCTGAACAGGAACAAGAAATTAATCCTGTCATGTTTCGACCATCCCCTTCTGATTTGCAGTTTCAACAAGTGAGGATCAAAACAATTTTTATTACTTGAAAATTCTCACATTTGAGAATTAAAATGCCAGGAATCATCATGCAGAATATTGTTAGCATGCTTGCAATGAGCTGAGCTTGCTAACGACACTGCTCGGCTGGTTTGTAAACACGTCTTGTTTTAGAAATAAGGCTGAATTGAACAAGCATGTGCTTTACTTCAAGTCTCATGGATGTCATTCCGTGCAAGCATTGTTACTCATTAGACAGCTCTATCTGATTTAAAAAAAAAAAAAACTTTAATTTATTTTGTTTTTGGAGTGATTGTTGTCCTGAATCCTTTTGAGGGTGAGATTTAGTGTTGGATTGAAACTGAGTCTTTTTATGTTGGTGAAGATTATCTAGTAATTTAATTTTCTAGTGGTTATAGTCTTCAACTTTTCATTTTTTATTTGTAATTTGTATCCATGTTTTGGGTTGCTATTTTAGATTCAGTCATGAAGATTAACAAGAAGTGAATTAAATAAGTTCTGATTGAAGATTAACAACAAGTGAATTAAATAAGTTCGGTTGAGCTGCCCACATCTAAGTTCTAAATTTGTGCTTGTGGAGGCTGGTCATTAAAACATGCTGCTGAGCTTGACCTTGAGCTGGCTTGTTGGAGCTCAAATTGAGCTTAAGCAAGTTTGGGCATTTCATCTATGTGACTGAGCCAACCCTGCAAGCAAGTACTAATTGGTTTGGCTTATTAGATGAAGCCCTAATGCGTACCAGATTCCTAGTTTGATTTTTTCTTTTTGAAGTTTATGGAAGTAACCTGGGTCATTGTGCATTTATATGACAAGAGTGCTTAGAGTATCTGTGCTCTCATGCAGGTGTTTTTGAAGGATACTGATGAGAGAGCATGTGCATATATTGCTGGTCCTGCACCAAATCGTTGGGGTTTCACTGTTGATGGAACAGATCTCTTCAAGTCAGTGAGTGGCTTTTCGGTTGCAGCTGGTCAGTTTTCATTCTATAAGTAAAATTAATAAATTTGATGTGTATTTTGATTCTTGTAAGACTTCTTAATGGAATGAAGTGAGAAATAAAAAAGGGAAGAACTTAGTTGCAAATGGTTGGATAAGCTGTGTGGCTGGAAAGATGGGGATAGGATAGTATTCCTTTCTTCAGGTGCTCTGAGGGAGTTTCTTTAGCTGATTTTCAGCGGAACTTGGCTGCTTATTAATGATATCCATTTTGCTTTATTATTTGGGAGGACGACTTATTCTTCAGCAAGCTTTTGTAGTTCTTTTTGCTGTTAATACAATCTTCTCTAATCTAAAAAATATATCTGCAAAAATTCCTTTTTGTTTAGCCCTTCTATCATGTTCCATGTTAAGCTTATATTCGCTGGCTTTTTTTATTTTTCATTGCTCTTCTAATATCTGTGTGCAAAATTAATTGTCACAGATAATCTTGTAAATAGGATATGTGTCTTGGTTAATTCACTGCATTTTTAATATAGCATTCAAAGTATTGCAAGAAATGGGTCCCTTTTCAGAAGGCATGGATTATATGGATAACCACTTGGTTTGGTTTCCAATGTGTCTATTGAATTTTCATGTTGCTTTTCTTTTGGATTGAATACTGTCGAGTCTTGTCTGCTTATAAAAGATGCTGGTTGACATGTTATAGAAAATGTAAATTTATTCAGGTTTACCTTTGTGAACATTGTCTGGCTCACTTCCGAACTGTTTCTCTGCATAGAAAGTGGAAAACAACTTTACTTTCTCCAAAAAAACTGAAGTGTGACTCATAATCTCAGCTGGCCAATGCTTTGCAGATGCACAACCAATATCTGAAACACAACAGATAGACGGGATGGATGTTCAGAAGGATATACAAGGAAAACTTCGCTGTCATCCACTCTTCTTTGGCATAACAATGGGGCTACTGGCTGAGATCATAAATTCTCGGTGATTTTCCTGACAGGCTTGCTTAGAAATCATTTCATCTATATGATATAACTTCATAGTCTAGCAATTTGCAATCATGCATGCATTAGCCAGTGTTATTGTTTGTTTCTTTCTAGTGTTTGTCTGGAATGTTCCTGAGGGAATTTAGTCTAGTTGTATCATACTCTGCAAAACTGCCTCTCCATGGGATTGCTACCTTAAGAACAAACAACCAAATAAAAATGTGTGTTCCCATCTAATGCTGTGAAAATACTTTGGGAAGTTAATAAAATTCAATATTGTACCATGGATGATCTGTCCATTTTACTCTGCTAACACTTCTTGACTAGCAGATGAGGCAGTAATCTTTTAGTTTTGAAAATTATGCAGCCTTACTCGAATCTAAAATATTTGTAGCTACCATAGCTATGAATTGTTGTATTTTCATGCAGCTATTCTTTGTTTTGTGCAGGCTTTTTACCACAGTTAGGGATTCTCTTGGGTTGACATATGATGTATCGTTTGAGTTAAGCCTATTTGATAGGCTTAAGCTTGGATGGTATGTTGTTTCAGTAACATCAACTCCAGGCAAGGTGGGGGTTCATTTCCCTATATTCCATCTAATATTTTCTGTTAGTTCTGACGTATTCACTAGCTTTGGGTTCTATTAACATGCAGGTACATAAAGCGGTTGATGCATGCAAAAGTGTTCTTAGAGGGTTGCATATCAACAAGGTTGCCCAGAGAGAGTTGGACAGGGTTAGATATTATTCAACTACTAGAATGCTGTTTGTGTTTTTCTGTGATTGACAGCATTTATACTCAGAACATAGGATTCATTGAAACGAACATGTTTAATGGAAATGATGAAAAACTTTTCTAGAAGTTCGTTCTTGTTATCCCCCTTCATAACAGCTTTTGCTTAAATTAACTTCCCTGCTGGGATTTGTTTTTTACTTTTCCTTGATAGGGGATATCTAATTGCATAATGAAGTAGAGTTGTCTTTTATATCCACATGTATCTTATGTCTTGATGCACATGTAGCATGTTTCCATTTTAACACTTTGCAATTACAGGCAAGACGGACGCTGCTAATGAGACATGAAGCTGAGATTAAGTCCAATGCCTATTGGCTTGGATTGCTTGCTCATTTGCAAGCCTCTTCTGTTCCGAGAAAGGTGAAAAACAATATGTTTGAAGCTTAGCTTTCATCCTTTAGCTCTCATCTTCCAACTAGAAACAAATTATGACTTCATGTGACCTGTTCTTTATGGTTCTGGGGTCCAGGACATCTCATGTATTAAAGATCTCACTGCACTATATGAAGCTGCCACAATTGAGGACGTATACCTTGCATATGAACAATTGAAAGTAGATGAGGATTCTCTGTACTCATGCATTGGGGTTGCTGGGACACAAGCTGGAGAGGAGATTAATGGTAAACAACCATAGTTGAAATTATTCAATTTCCCTGTCCAATGTTTCCTCCTATTTACAGTGTATTTGATTTAATATAAACCAGAATAAACAGAATGCAATGATTATTGATTATATGAGCTGAATTGAAATAATTGAAATCTGTATTGATTTAGAAGCCAATTAACAAGGTTACTTAAAATAGCACATTAATTCATATATGAGTTGTCATGTCATTTTTCTTGGACATCAGGCACAAGGAACATCTTATCTTGTTTTGCCATTTCATGTTTGGATTTTTAGTGGCATATTCTCTTTGAACTGCTTGCATCTGTCTCTTTTTCGTTCTTTTGTTTTTTGTTCTCTCTTTTTTGTCCTCTCTTTTTGTTTCATTTATTTAAGAGCTTTTCTTAAATTATTCTCCCCATTTGATTAACTCATACTTTGCAGCTCCATTAGAAGTGGATGAAACAGATGATGGTTTTCAGGGAGGCATGCCTGTGGGACGTGGTTTGTCTACAATGACACGACCAACAACCTGATTTTCCTGGATGATTTAATATCATTGATTGCAGTGAAACCTTTTTTGGTTAGTGTTAGAAGGTATCGTTCTTATTGGCATTAAATCTTATATTAATTATTTATACAACAAGGCCTGTTGCAAACAGATATAGCAAGTTGCGTCCATATATGGCTTGGGCCCATGCAATGAAATTGATAATTTTGACTCAAAGGTCTGGAAATTTCCTTAAAACATGCCAAGGCAGATGCATATATATCATATGTCATTGGTTGAAATGCGAGAGAAGAACCGATGTTATTTCTCTGCTTTTCTTTTCCGAGTCCTGAAATATGATATTCCTTGTGTGGAGAATGTGGTTTTATGTCAACCCACTTTGTAATTTATCACCAGCTGCCTTGAATAAAAGACTATGTTAAACCTTTTAAGGGTTTTACTTCTGTTAATCATATAAGGTCATATATTAGAATTAGTGACAAGCGAAGTTGAATGTAAGGTGTAAGGGTTCCAATCCATGTCTGTCACAGGATTCGGGTTCATTAGTGTCTGAGCTTGGGAGAAAGGGGAAGGCGTATCAGGACTGGGAGGAGGGTTTGTACCACCCCGCATTCCTTTATAATGATTTATTTTTTTTCCAATTATCTCTCTTCCTGTGTTGAACACCTCAAGTTTGAGCATGCTGCTGAAAATTGCCATAGAATTTCCATCTTCACAGTTCCATGGTATACTAAAAGGATAGTATGCAGCATTTCTTGTTTCTACATGTTAACAAGAAGTAAAATCATCTGCAGGATCGTGGGCAGCTCTCTACCTGATTTAAAGGTCCGATCAACAATTGATGGAGCTGTCCCATAAAGCCTCTCCTGGACTTTCAGAACGGTCTAGAATGTCCCATCGAGTGGTTCAGGTATGTCAAATTAGATGCCCAACAAAAGTAGTTGTGGAGTTGCGCAAGTTCATAGGGTTATTTTGATTGCTAGCAATTTCAGTCACTGGGATACCAAAATTTTTACAGATGTTTGTATAGATGCTGATCATGGTGTCATTAGCCGCTTGAATTGATTATAGTTTAACCAATTTACAGTCTACACCGCTTGAATTGAATTGATTATAGTTTACAGTCTACACCAGTGCCAATTGTTTCTATTGTAAATTAACCAATTTTGTGTTTTATATACTGTATGATTTCATGCAAAAATTGTTGTTAAACTCAAGCCTTGCTTGCTCGGTTGACTAGTTAACTTACCGTGGTTTGGGCCAAATCAGGGACCTAGTCAAGTTCTAGTGATCTAACGGGTATAGTTTTGAAATCCGGTTTGGCTTGCGAGCTGGCTCAGGACTCGGCCAACCTGGAACTAGAACTGAGTCGGGTTGAAAAAAATAGAGGAAGAAAAAACCCCGTGTGACCCGGCGACCCGGTCAAGAACCGGTTTCAAATCCGTTGATTTTTGTTTTTTGTTAAAATAATGTTGTTTTAATTTAAAAAAAAAATAAAATTTGACTCGGCCGATCCGGTAACCTAGACAAAACTCAGTGACTTGGATCTAACCTAGACAAAACTCAGTGACTTGGATCTTAGATTAGTTAATTTCAACTTACAAGTTAGTTGACGAGTTAATTTTTAAGGTTGTTTTTTAATTATTTTTAAATGATGTTTTAATTTATTTATTGGCCTAGGTGGCATATATAAATAGAGGAATATAATATTGGCCTAGGTGGCATACATGAACTAAGGGCTTATTTTACAGTGTGATATAAATGTTACTTTTTAAATTATTTTGTATTTAAAATTTATTAAAATAATATTTTTTTAAAATTTTATTTTTAATATTAACATATCAAAATAATAAAAAAATATAAAAAATAATAATTTAAAACTAAATAAGACTATTTTTTTTTTTTAGGGAATACCAAATACCACCAAAGGCTGTTGGTTATAGCCATCTCTGCTAACTGAAAATTTAGCGAGCTAGGTCACACGATTCTTGTTTTATTTTTGGGTTATTCCTGTCGTCAAAATGGACATGTATGATTTCACGCTCTGCTTTTTTGTTTTATTTTCCTTTGACAGCAAAGGAAAACGTTACCCTCTGAAGAACATATGCCAGCTGGAAACAAGTCACACAATCCACAACAACGCAGCAAAGCCCTAGACGATAAGAATTAGCGCCCCCACACTCTCCCTAGTTCCTCCTCCCCCCATCCAAAACCAAAGGCGGTCGACTCGGTTTAAGAACTCATCTTGAGTTGAGTTTTACGGGTCAATTTTGAAACTATAATTATTTAAAAATAAATAGAAATGACATTTAAAAAAAAAAAACCTAATTCAGACTAAAATTATATAAACATAAATTGTAACCAGGTTAGCGGTGTATTTTTCTTAAATAAAACTCAATTCACTAGTTGACTCATCTAACCAGGTGACAACCATGCCAAGAACAACCCACCCGCTCTTTCGAAGCCACGAAAATTCCAAGGGTACAAAAGCTGATACGGCTACATTTCTGAGAAAAACAGAACATCTCATCAAAAACACGCACCTTCTGTCGTTTTCCCTACTCCGTCTAGCCACCTAACCTAGCTCATGCATTTTTCAATTACGCGGCACGCCGTTGGTGCATGCACACCCACTACACGTACACCTCCTTAATTTGCGTGTCAGCCTCTGATCTCCGTCGTCCCCACAAACTCATTGCTACAAGGCACACGCGCCTCCTCCCCTCCTCTCTCTCTCTCTATATATATATGGCTCATCTGGTCTTCTCACCATTCTCATCAAATTAACACACCCGCTAGCTATGGCAAGACTTGTGAAGTCCTCAGCACCCCTGTTTGTTTTTCTCGTTCTCTATACGCTTCTTGTGTCAGAAGTGAGTGGAAACGGCGGAAGGATGGTAGGCGGGAGAGCCAAGGTGAATGATGTGAAGAATAACAAGGAGATTCAGGAGCTGGGAAGGTTCTCCGTGAAGGAGTTCAACAACCACAGGAGCACGTACGGGAAAGGTGGCGAAGTTGGAGAGCTGATGTTCTCTGAAGTGGTGGAGGCACAGACGCAGGTGGTTTCTGGGCTCAAGTATTATTTAAAGATTGAGGTAACCACACAGAGTGAAGAGAAGCTTGTGTTTGATTCGGTGCTTGTGGTCAAACCTTGGCTTCGATCCAAGGAGTTGCTTTCCTTTGAGCCTTCCATTGGACTGAGGGTAAGAAAATGAGAAACTGAAACGAAGATAATCAAGATCTTGAGGTCTTCAATTGTGATAATCAGCTGTAACAACATGAGTTGAAGAGATTAAGTAATCTCTGTTGTCTTTGTTTTACGAGTCTATGTAATAACCATGTTCATATATGTTAACTGTGGGTGCTCAAGAAATTTATATGAATAAATGAAATAATTATTTATAGCCTCTCTTCTTAATTTATCCATCCATCTGTTCTTCCTTAAATAGTTAACCAAGCACCTTAGCAGCATGCATCTCGGATTGGTCTGACCCGGCCCGGTGAAATTCACGATCGCCTTTGTTTTAACCTATTTGTTAAAACAAATCTGGAGGGAACGGGTTAGTTGACATCTCTAATCTGTAACCCGGTTTTTCATCAAGCTTTAGGCTTGTTTTTGGTATTGTAATTCTTTCTAGCTTTAAATTATTGTTTTTTTAAGTATTTTTATATCATTTATATATTAATTTTAAAAATTATTGAAGAATATGTTTGTCTTTTTTATTAAAAAAAACAATCTAAAATAAACACTAATACCAAATAACAAGGGAAAAAAGAGAGGGTGTATTAACTTTATAAAAATAAATTATTTTATATTTTTTTTCAATTAAATACGTTTCTATCTCTTAAATAGGGTATAGTTAGATTTATTTTTTTAAACTATAATCATTGCTCGTATTTGATTGAATTGTGTTGGATCTTGTCCTAATCAATCAAATGCCTGATATATAAATGATATTTTTATATTAATAAAAATAATTTCTACTACAATAGTAAATTATAAAATAAATAAATAAATAGAGATTCTTATTATAGAAAAATATGTTCTTGCCTTTAAAAGAAAAACATATTAACTTAAAAATTATTTTAAAAATATATGTTTATATATTTTTTCTTCAATTAAATACATTTTTATTTTTAAAATAGAGAGATAAAGATATGGTTCGATATATTTTTTTTTTTGCTGTAATCTTTGCTTGTATTTGATTGAATCGGGTTGGCTGTTATACTCTTTAATTGAATACTTATTAAGTATATAAATAATGTCTATGTATTAATTATTTTAATGTACTTTTAAGAAAGAAACATTTTAAAAAATAACTTTTATCAATCTCTTAAACTACATATTAAAAATAAAAAATAGAGTTTCTTACTATAAAAGAATATGATCTTATCTTTAAAAAATAGAAATTCTTACTATAAAAGAATATGTTCTTGTCTTTAAAAGAAAAACACTCTAAAATTAACAAATACTCTAAAACACAAATAAATAGGGAAAGTATTATATCTTTTTTCATATGAAAAAGGCCCATGGCCTATAATTCAAATGATATTCTTCTTCTTTTTCTTTTTAAGAAAAAAGGGGATCAGTTAGGTAAATTGAATGGATAGAATGCATGATTTACTATAATTCATAAGGGGGGGAAAACAAGGATGTATATTAACTTCAAAAATATAATATTTTTTTTTTTCAATTAAATACATTTTTATCTCTAAAATAGAGATATAGTTAGATTTTATTTTTTTAATTATAAACATTGCTTGTATTTAATTGAATCGAGTTGAATGCCGTACTTTTTAATCAAATATATACCTATCAAGTGTATAATTATCTAAATAATATATATATATATATATATATTATTTTAATATATTTTTAAATAAAAAATATTTTAAAAAACAACTTTTATCATTCTCTCAAACTACAAGTTAAAAAAAATAGAGATTCTTACTATAAAAGAATATGTACTTTTTCTTTTTTTTCTTAAAATAATAATAATAATCTCCATACTACATGAAAAGAAATAAAAATAGTTACAATAGAAGAATATGTTTGTCTTTTGTTTACAAAAAATGATATATATTAACTTTGAAATTATTTTAAAAATATTTTTTAATATGTTTTTCTTTAATTAAATATTGTTCTATCTCCAAAATAGAGATATAGTTAGATATATATTTTTTTAACTGTAATCATAGCTAGTATTTGATTCAATTTGGTGAAATTCAATCAACCGACTTTGTTTTAATCTATTTGCATCAAGTTTTAGACTTGGTTTTTTATTATAATCCAATAATGTATTTTAAATATTTTAAATTTTTTTCTAGTTTAAAATTATTATTGCTCATTATCATTTGCTCGTATTTGATTGAATTTGATTGGGTATTGCACTCTATATAATATATATAAATGATATTTTTATATTAATTATTTTAATATATTTTTAAATAAAAATATTTTTTATTGTACTTTCAAACTACAAAATAAAAATAAAAAATAGAGATTTTCACTATAAAAAAATGTGTCTTTTTAAAAAAAACACACTCTAGAATAAACTTTATACTATGGAATAGAGATACAATAGAAGAATATGCTCTTGTCCTTTTTTAAAAAAAAAAAAAAAACTACATATATTAACTTCAAAATTATTTTAAAAATTGATTTATTTTATATTTTTTAATTAAATATATTTTTATCTCTAAAATAGAGATATAGTTAAAAAAATTTTAATTGTAATCAGTGCTCATATTTGATTGAATTGAATTGAATGTCGCACTCCGAATACCTATCAAGTATTCTATTCACCTTGGATTTTTTTAGCTGCATTTGGTTGAACTGAGTTGGATGTCTTTTAACTCGAATGCCTATTGGAGTATCCCATTCGACTTGGATTTTTTTTATAAAAATTTAAAGAAATTAATTTGTTAATTATTAAGTAAAATTTAGTTTATAAGTGAAGGTTGAGTAATTTTGTTTATTTTAAGCAAAAGTTTCTCAATCATTCAAATAGGATGCAGCCGCTTTCCAGGGTCACCATCCACTGCCATGACTTGTGCAGGCTGCTGCATTTTGGGTCTCCTCCAGTCAAGCTTGTAGCTCCATATTGCCTGTTGGAGCTCATCACAAGATTATCAGAACAAAGAAACACAAGCCTTGAGGAATTAAAAAGAACATTAGGGAAATTAACTGCCTATTGAATTATAATTATAGTCAAGTACGCACCAAGGAAAACACTGCTGAGTCTCGTTCTGTTTCATCCCATGATGATGATGATGATGATGAAATTGAAGACTTCAAATAAAATCACAAATCATCTGGAAAACACCTCCTCTACAGCTTTCCTGCACCTAAGACGCTACCATTTCCAACAATAATTGTTAACACAGGCTTGACTCCACAAGGGCCATATCGCTTTACTGGAAGGAAAAGGAACAAGGGAAAAGGCAAAAAGAGAGAACTGCTGGTAAAACAATGCTACCGGCACTAGAACACTCTTCGATGCTAATACTAATCTGATGAGCAAATACATATGTGCTTTTAAGTCCACCAAAGGTCAAATTTACACCGAGCACCATGTAGGATAATATTGTGATGGTGGTCAGAGTTCAACAAGCACAAATCTTTACTATAGCTAGTTCAGTGTGGAACCATCCCACATGCATCAACATTGCTATATTTTAATGTTACAACTCGAATCTCAGATCCATGATCGGCGCATAAACAAGATTACCCTCCAAGGTTCCATATCTATACAAACTTAAACTTACATACAAATTTATCCTAAGTCAATCAGAGTTCAACGCAACATTAATAACAAAATCAGCTTCATCAAAACCCTAACATTTATTAAAATCAAAATTAAAACTTAATCAACACATATTTATATATAATCTTACCTTTAAACTTATTTCATTTAACTCCTTTCTATTCTTCTTCTAATTTCTCTCTTTTCTCTTCTTCTTTTTTCTCCCTTCTCTCTCCTACTGATTCTCTCTCAAATTTCAGATTACTTATTTTATTTTTATTTTTTTACTTTCTATTTATATTTATCAAGTTTTGTTGAATTATTATACTATCCTTCATTCATTTATACCCACACTTTAAGCCACCAAAGACTTTATTGTATTTTCCTACTCATTTATTCAAAACATTACATCTAAAGCCGAAGGCTCTAACTGTCCTCGTTTACAGATGAGCAGCAAACAAATTGTGCCCAGTGTGGTTTTCCCTTGACTTTTTTCTTCTCTCTCTTAATATCTGCAGGATGCCATGCTGGAAGCCTCCATGTTTTCTCTTCATCCTTGACAGGCTCACCCACAGGTTCTTGAGGAACCAGAATCGGGCTCATTGTTTTAGGTGAAGTGCCATTACTGTTAGCTGCAGGGTCAACTTTGTCAACTGGGATTTCCTTAGCATCTGGAGACCTGGATTTGGTTTCCATGTTTGCCTTGCCCAAAAGGATTTTCGAAGGAGCATGTTGTGGGCTCTTCAAGGGAGGGTGTTGTTTCCCTGTGCTCCAGTTCGTGACCTTGGCCATAATCTTTTCATTCCTCTTTCTCCCCGAAGAATCGTTAACAACATTAGTAATGGATGGAAACCAACCAGCTTGTACAGAAGCAGCTTTTGGCTGTTGAGGGTTCTGTGTTGTCCAGGCTTCAGATGCATCGGCTTTCTGGTTAATCCCATCTGTAGGTTCAACCAATGTCATGAAAGAAGGGGCCTCAAAAACATCTGATTTATCAGCATGCTGTGTCTCAGAAGCAGCTCTCAGCATCTTCAAGGTGGCTTTCTCTGCTTCCGATGATGCTTGGGAACCATTTGATGGCAAAGTCTCAGCATCAAGAATAGTCAGTATGTCCGATTGGGTGGAAAGCACTATTCCAAGGATTAAAAATCACATAATAGATTGAATTAATGAAAACAAGACAACTTGTTCTGTTAATGTATAAAAATAAAATACATGTGCATATAACTAGTAGCATCAGGGAAAGAATGGTTTGCAAACATGCTTACAACACATGTTATCAATGATCAAGGAGCTCATCCTAATCAATTTTAACCAATAAAATGAAACAAGGTAGCAATTGTAACAAGTGTTTGTTTGGGAACTATCATTTAAAACACCTAACAAGATTAACTAATCTATGGTGATTCTATACAACACTATATATTATGCATATGCAAGATATTAGGGGGCTCTGGGTCCCAATTACTCCCTACATGTCACACCTACAGAAGGTAGAAAGATAGAGATGGTAGATCCAAATCCAAGGTAACTGTTATTGAGTTAACTAAAGCAAAAATGAATTGCAAACGTACCAGAAATGGAACCCCAATGAGCTTCCAAACTATCAGTTTGGCTACTTGAATCAACTGAAAAGTCAGTAGCAGACGCAACAACCC